ATCATGATTTCCTGTTTCAAAACATAACATGCATGGTAACATAAAATAAATATTTGCATGAATGTCTCTCTCTCTCTCTCTCTCTCTCTCTCTCTCTCTCTCTCTCTCTGATACTTTTTCCCGCTATGTATTGGTTTTATGCCATTATCGTTGTCTATTCGCTTAGATCTTCTATATATTTCGTAAATGGCTAGTAGTCAACAGTTTGTTTGAAGTAAATTGGCTATAGAATTCTAGAATTTGTTCTAAAATCTATTCTTTTCGAAATTTTGTGATGCCTTGACGGATATTCACGAGAATAATGCATGCTGAGTAAATGGGGTGAAGCTAATTTTTTTTGTTATTTATTTTATTTTATTTTAAAATCTTACTGGTTCGATTCGGTTAAAATCGAACTCGTATGGTGAGATATGATACGAAACTGATAAGCATTAAGTAAGCGGTACACTTATGCCATTAATTAATGGACATGATATCTTAAATATTGGGAGGTAATTAGGATAGTTATAATTAAAAGTCTTAAATGTAATTTGAGATTAGAAAAGGGAGTACAATAATATTACGTTAGTGGACCGTAATATTATTTAAGTAATATGGAAGAGTGGGATTGGCCCACGGTTAGTTCATTACTTAAGAAGTCCTATTCCTGTTCTCCTTACGATCTCTATTGTAGCTCTATATATACATCATTAAGCTCATAGAAAAGAGAATAAGAGATCAGATTTCTCCTACGTGCAATTATACACACACGCACGCCCCTCTCTCTCTCTCTCTCTATCTCAGTTTTTTGTTCGAGATTTATCTTTTTCTCGTTGTTCCACCGATAGGAATTAAAGAGGTGTTTGAGTAATGTGGTAGAAGATTACTAGGTAATTGAGAAATGTATTCTTTAACTCTAGAACCGACAAATCATGACCTGCCGAATCACCACCGACTAGCCGAGCCCGACGTTGCTGCACGACCCAGCCAGCCACCGCGATGATCACCAAGCCCAGCCGATCCCCGCGACCCACGGCCAGCGACCGGAGACCTCCGCATAGCCCGTCCGACGTCCCGAGCCCGACGTCGTGATCCTGCCACCGTCAGCTCGATCCCGACGTGCTGTTCCCGGTCATCCTATCTCATCCCGAATCCGTCAGATTCAGAAAATTTTACGCTGTAAGTTTTTTACGTCAAACCTTTTGATCTGATGCCCATAGGTTTATGTTTGCTATTAAATTCGTGACTTGTACATACGAGATCCTCATAGATCCCAACAATCTCAACAAAGCCTAACATCCTTGCTATCAATTCCCGTTTTCTCGAAGGTGTCTAGGTATAAGATGCTTGCCTAGGCCCTGGTGTCGACCAAGATTCAATGCAGATTGATGTCGTAGATCGGTGTGGTGAGTACAAGCGCATCAGAGTGGGGGTGGTCAAATAAAAATGCGTCCTCATCGGTCATCACGATGGGATTTGACCCGTTTTTCATTAGCGCTCGCGCGCTCGCGCTTTTCACATGAGAGTCGGCTTGATAGGCTCGTCGAGCATAGGCCTTGATCGGCCGTTGCGACGGGACCAGTTTATGGCTTATATTAACACGAAACCCTCAGGGGGAGCCCTCCCGTGGGGACCAATTATGCGGCTTGGGCCGAGCTGGAGAATGGACCTTTCTCAGGGCTCAAGACGAACTCGCCTCTTCTTGGTAGGCCAGTTCGAACATCGAGATTTCTTTCTGCGAGTAAAGTCTAGTTCGTCGTTGGGTCTCATCTTCCTTGTCGGCACTCTCCATGTCGTATTCATGTCGACCTCTCTGCCTTCCTTCACCCTCTCTGGTGAACTTCTTTATCGCGGAATCCTTTATTAGCTTTAAAAATTCCAATAAGAGGTTCCAACACTGATCGGGCATGTGCCTGTAGCCTTTGTGGTAGGCCTAGTACCGCGATTTGTCTAGGCAGCTTTCTCTACAACTATTTTCTTGGCATCGGGAATGATTCCCTTGTTTTTTATCTCTTCATACATGGTCCCGACTCCCACGGAATACACGCTCTTGAAGTTTTCTCTCAATTCTTCATTTTGTTGTTTCCTTAGGGCCCTAAACTGGGTTTTATTCGCCGCCAATTTAGACTCTTGTTTCTTCGGGATTACGGTCCCAGGTAATTTGAAGCTTGGGAGGACCGACATTGATTCCTCCGCCATTATGTGCTTCTGGGCCTTATCAAGAATTCTTGATACGTTGTGAAAGCTACGTTGTCCAGCCCGTTCCTCACCTGATGTCGAGTTGGTTTGTTTTAGCATAACGCCCATCTGAACATCGAGTTAGATCTTAAGTCAGATTACGCTGACACCAATAAAGTCTTCTGGTGGTAGGGCTCCATATTTTGCACCCCGTCATTAAATTGGATGATATAGTCCTTTAAGAACTTTCTTTCGCTCCCTGTACAATTTTGGTTATGGATTCCTTCAGGATCATGCATACCTGAGACCCGGTGAAGTGGGACCGAACGGGCGATCTTAACTGCCCCCAGGTAGAGATCGAATGGGGGTAAAAAGAGTGGTACTATCTCTGAGCTGCTCCTAGCGTTAGGGATTTTCAACATCTTAACGCGTCCCTCGCTCCGTGTAGATCCATCCACGAGTTGTAAAGTCTTGTGTGGGCATCTAGGTCCGAGTTTTCGTCCTACAACCAGATCTGAGAGACTTTCACATTTTTGGGTAACGACTGGTAAAGGATGTCCTCAGAGAGCGGAGATGCCATGTCAACGACACGGGGGTGAGTTCTTCGGGGAAAGGTTGGGGGTTTCCTCTGACTGTTCCTCTGGGATTCCTGTTCGATGGCTCTTTTGTGGCGGTGATGGCTTCCTTCAGTAATGTCTACGTGAGGCTTCTAGCTCGGTGATCTTCTTTTTCAGGGTGATGATTTCTTCACGCCCGTGATTCGTAGGTCTTCCTTTGAAAATTTTCTCCCTCAGATCGCCTTTATGTTGTGGACCGTCGAGGCGTCGGGTAACCAGTCGATCATGGTGTCTAGCCTGAAAAGTGGGAGCCGACTTACTCTCCCTCGTTTCCTTGGTCAAGGCCGGCCTGACTACCTTTTCCTTTTGGACTCTAGTAGTATGGTTCGGAGATTAGGTTGTTCACTGTGAGATGGCCGGGCATTTTTCCCTATTCCCTGTGGCGCGGTCCGCTCTTTTCTCCAGGGTTTGTAGCATGGCCACCGCAGGTGTCTTCGTAGTTTTTGCCGCTATGGCCTGGTTTGTCAATGCCGCCAATATCTTGGCTACAGAATTCCATGCCTTTGAGGAAGTCTGGATATTGGAACATCGTCGTAATGTCCATAGGGACTGTGACTGAAGGAACGATAGCGTAGTGGTTCCGGTGCTTGTTTTTCTGTCGTGTCAGTCGTGGAGATGACGACAGGAATTTGTTCAGTTGTGTGCCACCGTGACTATTCCCATTCGGGTAGAACGACGCGAGAAGAGCCTAACGCCTGTCGCTGAGGCGACGGCTGTTGCGATTCTCCCGTGCTGATTGTCATCGTACTGTGGCGGAAGGGTTCCTGATATGTGTCTGTTCGTTTCGAAAGTTTGTCCTAAGCAACTTATGGGGTCCTTCCTCCAGCGCCAAACTGTTGATCGACAGATTTGATCAACCTAAATTAAGAAATGTCGTGATGATTTGGGGTCATCAGAGCCATGATAATTGGCCATAATTCATAAGGTCGCATGAAAATTTATATTATTTAGGTCGGATATTCCGGTCGTACGAAGTCAGTTTCCGTCTTAAATGCAGGGATTTTTTTTGCATTTTTATTGTTCAATATATTAAATTGGTCTCCCGATAAATTAGAATCTTGTTCACATGGGTCCGAAGGGTATATATAATAGTGCGCTTACTGCCTATTCACCTTAGCCTCCCCATTTAATACTATGTGACATGCATTAAATGCCCACATGCTACCCTATTAGTCTATGGGGCGTAGACCCGCAGAGAAGACACCTCCGTCCCATCTGTCATCATGAGGCTGAATGTGGCAATATTGTAGCATTTTTCGAGACAAAAGCGGAGCTGAATTCCTAGTGGGGTAAGGAAGCCGCATGACCGAGGTCCTATATACGGGCGCACTTTGTCTTGTCACCCCTAGTGAACTGTGTCGTAGTATTTCGTCACTATCCGACCTCAGTTTTGAACTTTAGAATCTAATTACCCCTTATTTAACTTAGGTATCAACAACAGGCACTACAATGAACGAAAACATGTAATCTTTGTTTTGCATATAAGTATCATAACAAAATTGTAATTTTAACATTAGAATAGACCCTTTATTTTGGCCTTATTAGTTGGCTAGAGTATAGAATGATTTTTTTTTTTTTTT